AAAAAAAAAAAAAAAAAAAAAAAAAAAAAAAAAAAAAAAAAAAAAAAAAAAAAAATTAGGATAAAGTGAGTGTTCTAGGAATAAGTGTCGTGGGTGGAAAAGAATCTATTTTTTGGCAATAAAAGACGAGTAGAGTACCTAGTCCAAATCGTAGAAAGCATCTATATTACAAACAATGACATGATGAATAGAGTTCATAGGGAGACATGCTACCATGTAGGGAATTAAAGGGTTTTCCCTGTTGGACATGATTCAACGAAGGCGTGCATTAATGATTGTTTTAACTGAATTATTTCGAGCCGACATAAACTACGACAAAATGCATGTCGTTGAGTTGACATTGACAACCGTTCAATTTGGAATACGAGTGCAAAAACGTGCTAAGTGGATAATTTTTTTTTTTTTTTGTCCATATAGAGTCTACAAGTGAAAGTCAACTCTCAAGACTACATTCGTAGGTAGGTATATTGATGTTGCATTGTACAAACATGTTTCAATTTGAATCGGAAACGTCTTTTAAAATTTTATCGGAGTAAAAAAAACAGTGTGTGTGGGGGCTGAGGAATTGAATTCAGCCATTAAAAAAGAGTAGCACAGCCATGATTGGGAACAATGATGGGTATGAGATTAATTAGAAAGCTCCGTTTGTTCGATTAATTAACAAAACACCCATTGTAATGAAGATCAGGAAAAGCAAAAAAGGCGTAATCTTTTAAAGCCCCCAAATTCCCAAAATAAAAAATGAGACCAAAATTGGGGTTCTTCGGTTCCTCCACAGATACAGATACTGCCCCCTCTTTACCCACACAGACCTTCGGACACTATAAACACACACTACAGAGAGTGACAGTGAGAGCAATCCAGATGGTGGAGACAGAGGCTGATATATGTCCCATGATTTTCTTCTCTGTCTTAGACTATGTTTGAGGTTTTCTTGGTGGTTTTTTAGGCAAAGGGGTTCTTCTGGGTTTTGAAGGAGGATTAGTTGCAGAGAAGTGGTGGTGGGTCGGCGGCGGCGGCGGAGGAGGAGCAGATGGGTTATTATGAATAGCAGTGGGTGTGGCGGTGAAGGATGGGAGTAGGACAGTAGTTGTAGGGGGAACAGCAGCAGCAGCAGCAGGCAGTGGCATGATGGGGATGAATAATAGGTCACCTTTCACAGTGTTACAGTGGCAGGAGCTGGAGCATCAGGCTCTGATCTTCAAATATATGATGGCAGGTCTGCCTGTGCCACCTGACCTTGTACTCCCTATTCAGAAGAGCTTCGAGTCCATTTCTCATAGGTTCTTCCATCATCCCACCAGTAATCTTTCCTTAACCCTCTCTTTCTTTCTCTGATTCTTGTCAGTTTGATTGGTTTTCTGTTTGTGTTTTATTGGATTTTCGGGATCTTGTTCTTCACCTTCACTAATGGGTCTGTTTGGATGCCTGAATGGTTCCTTTTTGAGGTTCCCCTTGCTTCAAACACTTCAATATCTTGTGTTTCCCCTCCCCTTCTGTTAATTTTTGATATTGATGTGTATCTTAAAAGCTTTGAATCTGTGAGTTTGGGTAAGAAATGATGCCATTTTGAGATAAATGAATATGGGGTTCGTTGTTTTGTTCTTCTCTTAGAGATAAACATTAGGCATAGAACCCTCATTAGCTTCATTATGGGATCTAATAGCATAATCAAGCCCCAAACCCTTAGTTTAGAATCAATATCCTTGTTCTTTAGCAGCTTCATTTTGGGTAGAGAAATCCAAGAATATGTTGATATGGTAGATTTGTGAGGTTTGATGGGCAATTTGTGCAGTGGCATATTGTTCATTCTACGGGAAGAAGGTGGACCCCGAGCCTGGAAGATGCAGGAGGACTGATGGCAAGAAATGGAGGTGTTCCAAAGATGCATACCCAGACTCCAAGTATTGTGAGCGCCATATGCACCGTGGCCGCAACCGTTCAAGAAAGCCTGTGGAATCTCAAACAATGACACAATCTTCATCCACCGTGACATCTCATACCGCTATCGGAAGCAGCAGCAGCAGCAGCGGAGCTGGAAGCTTCCATGGCCTTCCACTGAATGTCTTAAGCAATTCCCAGGGTACTCCCACTGGGACCAGCCAGCCTCATTATCCCTTGGACTCCATTCCCTATGGTATCCCAAGCAAAGATTATAGGTATCTACTAAACTTATGAACATCCATATCCATTTCCCATGATGAGTAAATTATTCCTTAAGAAGAAAGTGTATATTCATATATTTGATCTTATTTTCAAATGGGTGTTAAATTTTTGTGTTTCCATTGGGCATTTCATGCATTTATATTTGATAGAAAAGAAAAAAAGGTTCAAATGTAGCTGTGCTTTGAAGCAAGCACATAATGTTTGCATTCATGGGGACCATATTGAAGTTATGTGGTGGTGGGAGCCCAAACTGTGCTCCTCTCTGCCATATGTTTTAACCCTTTTCAATTCTTTTGGATCCAACTCTTTGAGTGCTTCCGACCCCGGAATGTCCCCACACGGAGAGTTTGCCCCCCCCCCGGGTATGTTTGACATATATCGGGGTGGAAGATGGAATTGGGGCGGTTGGCTGCGGAGCCTGGCCCTATTCATTTCTTGTATCCATAAAATTTTCGTAGTCACCGTTCTAAGCCTATCGGTTACACCTTAGCCTTAGCTCTATGTTAAAAGATATGAAGACAGCAAAAAAAAATGTCAGTGTTGCTTCAATTCTAGTGGTCTGTAAAGTGAAATTTGTCTTTTTTTTCTCTCTCTTTGGCTTTTTTTTGAGTCCCTCAAAATTACATTGTGTCTGATGTAGACTTTGGTAATGTTTCATATTTTGCTGACATTATGCAATCAATATTTGCTGAAGAGTTATATCCTTTTCCCTCGCTCTATTCCGATGGTTGTTCACGTTAACTTTTGTTAACTTTAGCTCATAAATTTTTTCCTTGTCGGTTTATCATTGCCCTTTTTCTTTTCTTCATGGTCGTTACATTGGGTCCTCATCGCTGTGAGATGGATGCTGTGAGAATTCCACATTGGTTGAGGAGGAGAACGAAACACCCTTTATAAGGGTGTGGAAACCTTTCCCTAGCATATGCATTTTAAAACATTGAGGGGAATCCCGAAAGGGAAAGCTCAAAGAGGACAATTTTTGCTAACGGTGGGCTTGGGCCGTTACAAATGCAGAGTTCGGTTTTGTTGCTCACAGGGAACAACTCTGACAATCATTATGTGTTCGTTTCAACTCTTGCTATTTAGTTCTAATTGTTCGTATCCAATGGCGTTTCTACTTTAGAGAAAGCAGTTTGTGTGTGAGCTGATTGATCTTATGGTGCTTTATGGCCAAACCGTGCTTCGCTCTCAGTTTCTGTCATCTTTTTATCAGTTTTTAGGTTCATACCTTCGGGTTTGAACCGTTTTTATGTGGTTTGCTCTCTTTTAGCATCATGCTTATTGATTGTTTATGCCCGTAAACTGAACCAGGTAGAAGTAGTTTTCATAAGCTTAATTTTCGAAAAACAAAAGTATTTCCGAATAAAGGCGAAAGTCTCTAGTGTTCTGACTTTTGTGTACAATCTCTTTAAGTCTTAAAAGAAGGCAATTGGGATACATTTTACTTTTCCCTCTTTTACCACTTGGTTGTAGTGGAGCTATGTAAGGAAAAAGTGGCATGTTTCTGAACTATTATGATTTTTTCTTTCATATTATTTTGGACTTCTGATCATCATTGATTCATTTATAACTTTGCTGGTTTCCTTTCGAGCTAATTTCTTTTCGGGGTCAATTTTGAGTTCTAATATACCCTTTAACCAGTCGACTCAGACTTTATCTTGGTCACGACTCGTGATAACCTTATTTTACTAGTGTCTTAGAAACCGTGAAGAATGAGCCTAAAGGATGTCTTGTAGGAACAAGGAGAAAAGAGCTTGCACCATTTGGAACCGAACATATCCATCTCACTCGGAAAATCTAAGAGCTATAAGATCAGTTGATGCATCATCCTTCCCTGAACCATTGTAGCTAATAGTAGTATGGTACACGATGACGATATTGGAGCTTGCTGGAGCCTATAGGACGTAGACAATAGAATCCTCAAATGTCGAACAAATCACTTTAGTGTCGAACAAAGGATGTACTTTGTTCGAGGACTCTAGAGAAGGAGTCAAACCTCGACTAAGGGGGGAGGCTTTTAGAGGGCTCTAGAGAAGGAGCCGAGCCTCGACTAAGGGGGGAGGCTTTTCGAGGGCTCCATAAACCTCAAGGGAGGCTCTATGGTGTACTTTGTTGGAGGAGAGGATTGTTGAAATAGGAGTCCCACATCGGCTAATAAGGAATACATCTCCATTGGTATGAGGTCTTTTGGGGAAACCAAAAGCAAAGGCATGAGAGGTTATGCTCAAAGCGGATAATATTGTACCATTGTGGAGGTTCGTGATTCCTAACAGAGCCTACTTCGATGCCCTGTTGTGCCGATCATTATAGTATACCTTTTTTTCCTAATTAACATGGAATGAAGTTAAGAATTTAGATTCAAATTCTCTTCACTTATGTATGTATTTGTTGAATTACAGGTATATTCAAGGGCTTAGACCTGAGGCTGGAGTGCATAGTTTCTTTTCTGAGGCATCAGGAAGCAGCAGAGCTGTTCAAATGGATGCACCAATGGACAACAACACATGGCCAATGATGCCACCTAGATCCCCGTCTTTCCCGGCATCAAAATCGACCGAAAACTCGATCTTCCAAAGTGGGTACCCACCGTATTCGTTCTTCGGTGGCGAATTTGCATCCGGGGATACTCTGAAGCAAGAGGGCCAATCTCTTCAGCCATTCTTTGATGAGTGGCCAAAAACCAGGGAGTCATGGACGGGACTTGACGATGAAAGATCGAATCAAACTTCCTACTCCACAACACAGCTCTCGATATCAATTCCAATGGCTTCATCCGACTTGTCGACCACAAGTTCGAAATCTCCTCACGGTTAGTACCACTATTGCCACGCACGCTTGTTTGGTTTCGGTTTCTTCTTTGCATATTCTTAGTTAGTTCATCCTCGAATATTATTCTCCACAGATAATTGAAAGCAAGCTGCATGATGCTTTGAGAAATTTTCAAGTTTTATCTCTCAACTTTGATGCCTGAATTTCGTAAGCTAGTCGTTCATGTTCGGTATATTTGAGCGAGCGTGTCGTTGGAGAATTCTGTTGTATTCTTGCCTTGTTTTCCCCCTTTGCTGCTCTGTTTCTTTGGGAATCAAAAACTTGGTTGTTATTATGTGTAAACAATTTAGAAGCTGAATGTTGGTATTAGGCTTGGAATAATACAAAACTGGATGAAAATTGTTTGTTAGTACCTCCACAGTTAGTCGAGGATTATGCATGCCTAGGAGGGCCGTGCATTTTGGGATGTGGAGGAGTTATTATCGCTCAACTCCATAACCTAATGTGGCAATGGGTTCAGGCCACAGGGAACCATAGCATGGGAGGATGTCTAATCCTTTTGTTGCTGCAAGGCTGGCTAATCGTATGCAGCAGGCTCGAAGACCCCTCGTTCTAGAAAGCGCATGAGTTCGAATGCTATGAAGAAATGAGTATCGTGTTTTACATTTCGTAAGCTAGATGTCAATAATTGATCCAAAATAAAGTTAAACATTCAAAACGTAGAAGTATGAGTTGTTTTTAACTTGATTAACAAATTGATTCTTCACACATTTAAATAATGTCAAAATATTAGAGCATACAACTCCCGGTACAACTCTCATGAACGTAAACGATTAGTTGCACGAAAGTAAAGCACACACGTCCTAATACACTTCTCATAAACATAGATGAGTAACTACACAAAGTTTTGATTTGCACGGTTTATACAAAAATGTCTCGTTGTATTTCAAACAATGCATCATGAGCTCCTACTTATCAAGTTCATTTTATAGTATTCACACATCTTATGAAGACATGATACAATTTATTACTCGAATCATGATTCGTTATTTGCTTTACTGCTAGACATAATTAAAAGTGACAATAGTTTCACTATTTAGCTACGAGAACACACTATAGTTTACGATGTAAACAGTCAACAAAATTCTAAAATTGGGGTTTGATACCAAGTGTAATGTCTCGACTTTCTCACATGGACTGAAGAATAAGACTTCAGATTCCCTAATTGGCACAAAGAGACATTGATGCCCAGTTCATACATTAGCGACGAGTTTCTAAAAATCATGGACTATTTGCAGAAACTTGGGTATACGTCGTCTGTGTCAACAATGACTCAAATTCGAATTGGCTAACTCACTAAGTAGTGAAAGAGAGTGTCGATTGCTTACAAATGTCTCGAGAAATAACACGATGCCCATCTCTAAGCTAAAGGAGACGTGCAACGCCTTTAATGCAATTTCTAATCTTTTCCTAAATGAAGAGCATAAATATGATGTCCTAGATTTGTTGGGGAAGAGAACAAAACCCTTTATAAATGTGTGGAAACGTTCCACTAACGCGTTTTAAAGCCTCGAGGCAAAACCCGAAATGGAAAGCTCAAAGAGGACAATATCGGGTAGCAGTGGGCTTGAGCCGTTACAATTACACCAACCGAAACATTAAAAAAAGTTTATAAAAAGGATCCTAATGAATTCCTACCACTTCAAAATAATTAAAGGTTGAAGTTGTTTGTATTTAATTTTAACATCTTGTTTTGGTAAAAAAAAATAAATATATGAAATAATATAAAATGTTAAAATTGATAAATCTCCTCCTCCAATGATCAGTAATGAAGATAACAAGGGGGCCCACATGATGATGTTTAGGTTAATATTTTATAGCAAAATATTATTTATTGAGGAATAAATATGACACAAATTTAATCCATATAAACCTTTTTAATAAATTAATTCATATAAAGACAATGGTGTGACACAAACATAATCCATTATAATATTATACATGACTTATGAATTTATTTTAATAAACTTTCCACGTATTGCGTGCGATATATTTTAATATTTTAAAACTTTATAGCATATATTATTCAAAATAAATCATAATCTTTTAAAGAGGTCATATGCTGATATTAATTATTTTAAAACAATTTTAAAATTTGAAAATAAAAATGAATTTTTTAAAAATAATTAATATCAGCAATCAATGGCACTTTAATTCTTGAAATTTTTTGGATGATAAATGAAAAATATGTATATATATATACGTATAGCAGGTGGGTGGTGTTCTAGCGAGGTGAAATGCGAGCCTGCAATGGCGTCTTCATGACGATGGAAACCTCAATCTTCTCCTCAAGATCAACATCATCCACCGCATCCCATTTGAAGAACCACACCAAATTCGCCACAAAATACTGCAAGTGGAGCATCGAAATCCCAACTCCAGGGCAGATTCTTCGCCCTCCCCCAAATGGCATAAACCTAATCTCCTTCCTCCCTATCAATGCCTCCACTTCCACTTTCTCCGCCTCCTTTGTCAAGAATCTCTCCGGCCGGAACTCCATCGGCTCCTTCCACACCTCCCCGTTCCTTGCCATCTCCGCCGCCACAAAATGCACCGTCGTTTTCTTCGGCACCACGAACTTCCCGTCCAACACTACTTCCTTTGTCGCTAAGTGCGGCAGAGACAAATACCCCGGCGGATGCCGCCTCAGAGTCTCCATTATCACCGCCTTCAGGTACGGCATCTTCTTTATGTCCTCCTCTGTTACCTGTTCTTTTGATGATGATTGATCCATGGCTTGATTAATCTCTGTATATACCTTCTCTTGGATTTCTGGATATTTTACGATGTTCGCCATCGCCCATTGCATAACCATTAGTGTAGTATGGACGATTCCGTTGAGAAATTCTGCACATAGGCTGATGATTTCACCTTCTTCCATCTTCCGATTCTCTTCCGGGAGGTGTAGGTTTAGCAATGTGTCGAGATAGGGTAAAACGCGTTCTGTTTCTGTTTCTGATTCTGATTCTAATTCGTTGTTCCTTTGTTCGATTTCGCGTTGTCTTTCGTCCAATCTGGCTTTAATTAAAGGAATTATTGCGGTTTCCATTTTGTTTCGGATCGTTGAGATTTCGTTCCAGAGATTAGGGTACAGGATTTTCCCCAATTTCAATGGATACTGATTCAGTTTGTTTTGCCTACTGGAATGCAACAGAACTTGATGGAGGAGCTCGGCTAAGGCTTTGATTCGCTCCTCTTCGAGCTTCAATCCAAAGCACATGAACACCGATATCTCTACCAAAGTCAGCCGGATATGGTCGACAAGACGAACAGCAGCAGCCCCGCCCTGGGAGTGCGATTTCAGGCGGGAGACGAGCGAGTTTAGGCTCCAGCGGCGGGCATCGGAAAGGAGTCTGAGGTGAGAAGGGTGGAAGGTTTCGGAGATGAGATTACGGCGGAGGAGGCCCCAGTTAGGGCCGTGAAAGGCAGTGAAGATGGTGATGTGGTTACTGTAGAGGATCTTGTTAGTGATGGAGGCAGGGGGACGGTCGGCGATGGCAGCGCCGTGGTGAGCGAGAGCTTGGTGGGCGAGGGAGTGGCCGGCGATGAAGATGACACGACGAGAGCCGAAGTAGAAGGTGAAGATGGGGCCGTAGTGGACATGGAGGTCGTGGATGAGTGCGTAGAACGATGAAGAGTATTTGCGGAGTAGGATGATGTTGCCCAGAAATGGGAGAGGGGTTGGGCCTGGTGGAAGGTTTGGGAAGGAACGGCCATGGCGGATAAGTTTCAAGATGGTGATGATGAAGATGATGGTTATGGTGAGAACTGGAAGCCATGTAATTTCCATTTTGAATTTACAGAAGCAGAAGCGCAGAAGAAGAAGAACTTTGTAGACGAAGAAGACGGTCTACATTCATGCATAAGGGAAGAATGCTTAGCTTGCCTTAAATAGTCAAGTTTTTATGAGTTTATTATTAAAGTTAGATAATTATTAAAACTATATATATATATATAGCTCAAATATTTAAAAAAAGAACTTTCAAATTTTTGTTTACAAAAATAATATATTTTCAAGTAATTTTTTTAATTATTTAGAAAATTCTTACTTATTGACAATATATTGTTAATATTAATTAAATTTTATGAAAGTTTGCATTATTTCATCATTAACCTTATTTAGACCCGTATTTTTAATCTTAGTAATAAGTAAGATAGGGTTGGATTGTAGCTCTGTTTTCAAGTTAGTAGGTTGACTTGATAAAAAAAAATCAACGGGTAAACCGACTTGAATTTTCAATTTTTCAAAAATTCAACTCAACTTAGAATGGAAAAAGAATCTAACCGAACTCAATTTTTAAGATTTGTGTTAGATAGTATGGTTGGTCCAGTTCTCGAGTCATATAAATGTCCTTAGTAGGTTTTTGACCTACTTAAAATCTTTTAAATTATTCAATTATTTAAAACTAAAATTATTGTGGGCTTAAGACTATAAATTTTCATTTTTTTTTTCTATAAAATGGTGAATTAAAAAATAAACATAAAATTGGGAGTTATATACGTTTTTTTTAATTTAGGGATTTATTATAAATTAAAATTTATAAATCAAATAAATATCTTAAAATTCACGCAATTTAATTTTAAAAGTTTAAAACTATAAAACATTATAAAGATTTTAGCTGAAAATTGGAATGGAACAAATTTCAAGTTTGGTAAAAAAAAAAAAAAAAATTAATATAATTATCTCTTTAAAAATATATAATATTTTTTTATTATTTAAACGATTATCCGTACCAATTAGATAGATATGTTAATAATAAAAATAAATTAAGCATTAAGTTGTATGAACCTTTGGTCATTTTTTTGGATACGAATGGGATGGATATTCATAATCCATTCTTCTTTTTTGTTTTAAAATTTTAGTGGGGATAAAAAACTAAATGATTGATCACAAATTCAATATAAATAATCTAAATAAAAGTTTTGCTGACTTTTATCAACCTTTAATTAATCTTAAAATAACTATAAATTTATTTGGGACCATAAATATTGAATTTATAATAATTAAATATATATAAAGTGGTCCTTCAATTATAAAATTGTAATATTTGCGTACCCAGACGACTTATCTTGCTAAATATTATATTTTCTTGCATATATATATATATATATATATATATATTCTAGAATGCCTTTATTATTTATAGATGAAAGAAAAAAAAATGGTACGATATAATTTATTTAAAAGATTATTTAAAAAATAAATGACTTATTATTATATTGATTGGATCCATATAAATAGAAAAAACTAATTAATCTTGTTAATTAGAGTTTATGAATTTTGGATAAAAGAATCGAGAGTTAAATAATTATGAAGGTTTATGAGATTAAGTAGTGTTAGGTTAGTGTCGT